AAGACGAAAGAGCAACTGAGCTGGAAGGAACCCAGAGCAAGCTGGGACTTTATAAACCCCGCCAGTTAAACATCGGTGGAGTCAGATGGAGTAGACGAAGAAATGTGATGAGACAAAACGTGCTGGGGCCAATAGATGGATCCAAACCGAAATGCTTCAGCGGCAGAAGTCAGGTCTCCAGGGCTGTAGAATTAACGTTTCGCTTGTTACTCAGCATCAAAGGTTTTATTTTTATTTTATTTTTTTGCCTCTTCGGTTTGTCAGTTGGCAAACTGGAATGGATTCAGAGAAGCACTCTAGACAGGAGCAGCTCCAGCCAAGGACTGTAATGAAAGACTCAAAATAGAGCTGGGAGGGACCTTGGAGGTCGTCTAGTCCAGCCCCCTGCTCAAGCAGGAGACCCCAGACTATTTCAGACAGGGGGCTGTTCTTAAAAGCCTCCAGAGATGAAGCACCCACAACTTCTGGTCCACTGGTTAATTGTCCTCACTTTTAGGAAGTTTCTCCTTAATTCCAGGTTGCTTCTCTCCTCGATTAGTTTCCATCCATTGTTTCTTGTCTTGCCCTCTGGTGCTTTGGAGAAAAAGTTGACCCCTCCTCTTCTTTGGGGCAGTCCCCCAAATACTGGCATAGTATTATGTTCTTTTCTCTAGACTAGCCAAGTCCAAATCCTGCAATCTTTCTTCATACGTTTTAGTTTCCAAGCCTTTAATCATCTTAGTTACTCTTCTTTGTACTTTTTCCAAAGTCTTAACATCTTTTTCTGCCCACCTTTCTGCCTTCCTGCCTTTCTTTCTTTCTTTCTTTCTTTCTTTCTTTCTTTCTTTCTTTCTTTCTTTCCTTTCTTTCTTTTTTCTTTCTTTCTTTCTTTCCTTCCTTCCTTCTTTCTTTCTTTTTCTACTTCCTTTCTTTCATTCTTTTTCCTTCCTTCCTTCCTTCCTTCCTTCCTTCCTTCCTTCCTTCCTTCCTTCCTTCCTTGCTTGCTTGCTTGCTTGCTTGCTTCCTTCCTTTCTGGGAGATATCTCTGAGGCTAAATTTACTTTGGTGTCATTTGGTCTCCTTCTCTCATTTTTGTGGGTCAGAAGGAAATAAGTCCTTTCCGTCTCTCCACCAAACGGCTGACTTTCCATTCCTCCTTCAAAAAGAAGGTAAAATCTTGATTTCACAAGTTCTGACAGAACTAGGTCAGTCGGCCATCAAACTGTGAGGCCTGAGGGAGCCATTAACATGAAGCCATTTAGGAAACATCTCAGTGGCCTCATAATAGCTGGGAAACGTAGTTCTCCTTCACATTTTAAATATGTTAGGAGTAAGAACGGGAGTAAGGATGGGGATTATTTAGCCAGAGGAGAAATTTCTCTTGAGGAGAAATTTATTCAGACCCTTTGGACACCTACGAGAGGGCAAACTGTACATTTCATGCAATAGGTATCTAAAAAAAACCACCATTTCTGGTGCCAGATGGTTCTTTGGGGAAGGACAGACTAATTTACAACCACTCTTCTCAACTATATTTTGCACTGAACATCGGAGAGTACAATGCCATTTCCTTGTTGAGCACTTCCAACTGAATATCAAAGTGTGTTAATTATTCTCTTGAGTTGCAGTTAAGTGAAGGAGGATTTCATTGTCTGGGCACATTGCCAAAATGTCCCTCACTTTAGCTATTTTTCAAGGGAAACCAGAAAGTAGAATGGGGGTGGGTTTCCATGAGCTGCAGAAACAGTGACCGAGCCCCAAGAATGAACGCCATGTCACATGACAGGTGGAAGCCAGGAAGCTGGAGAAAAGCGATGGTGCTAGACCAGTCTGATAGCCAGTTTTAATTAAAGCAAGAAATTATTTTAAATGATGTTTGATATGACGTGCTCTCCTTTCCAGTTACAAGTTGAATCGATGCTGTCGACATGATCACTTCTGTCCCTTATTTCTTAATTTATTTGCAGATTAATAAGCGAACAGATTAATGTGATGTTTGGGGACTAAAATATTAAGATCTCGTCCTTCTCTTCCTGTCTATCTTCTCCTTCTCCTTACCTATTTTCTCCTTCTCCTCATGGTCTGTCTTTACTTGCCCTTCCTTCTCCTTCTTTTAGGGCTTTCTGCAAATCCAGCCCATTTGATTAATTTAATTAATTTATGATTTAGCACGAAGCAAGGAGTGATCATGCAACTTGTTTCTGTGTGCCGGTAATACTGAGTTAACCTATCTATCTTCTCCTCCTTATCTATCTCCTCCTCCTCCTCCTCATTGTCTATCTTCTCCTCTTCCCCCTTCTTCTTCTCCTTCTCTTAGTGCTTTATGCAAACCCAGCCCACTTGATTAATTTATGATTTAGTGCTAAGCAAGGAACCATGTTTCTCTGCACCCATAACATTGAGTTGAGAAGATGCTTCTTGACATCCTGTTAATCAAGCCCTGAAAACTGTTTTAGGGCACCATTCCGTGACTTGGATAGGATGAAGAAAAAAATTCTCCAAATAGTAACGGATGCAATCACAGGACTTAATCCCCTCTTTTCCAAACATATACTATCAAATCCTGCTAGAGTCACATTATGATTGGCCTATATCCATCCCGTTTCCCTATTTTCTGCATGGCCAAATATAGGCTTTCTATCTCTAATTAGTGGAGACTTGTTCCATTTCTCTTCCACGAGGAACAAACAGCAGACTGTGCCTCTGTTGACCCTATAAAGAAGCCACATGAGTTTTATACAGTAGAGCAGCCATTCAATAACAAAGAAGGTTTAATAGATTTTTTTTTAAAAAAGAAAAGAAAAGAAATCTTTTTCCAGAAAGGGCTATTCTGAACTGAAGCTTGAGTATTTTTGGCAAAACCCTGAAAGGTCCTGGAAATGAACAGCAGTCTTATGTTTAAATTCTGCATTCATGGCTCTGATTTATTCGAAGGAGGAGAGGGAGGGAAAGAATTACAAGCTCTGTAAGTATGAAATAGAGGGCCTAGCGGTGTTGGCCCGATCCACTGTGAAGTCATTGCAAACAAAAAGGGAAAAAAATGAGATCCCAACTATGTTGCAGCTTGGCAGCAACAGAACCTTTCCAAAAACCTAAAGTTTTCAAAGCCATTGGTATTTGCCAGCGAGACATATGTCTTCCCTAAAGAAACTGAGGATGGAGTAAAAGTCCATGGGAAACTTGCTCACAGTGTCACGGTGCTAAGAATGCTGATTTGAATTTCCTTCCTGAGCCATGGGCAAAGTTAGTAGGGTGAACAGAGGCTCTTTCTGCGTCTTTCGGGTGACCGAGAAGAACTAAGGGTGACGTGATAGTCTTCAAAGAAAGCAACAGAGACGACGAAGGATCTGGAGATTAGATAGCATAACGAACAATTTAGGGAACTGGGCATGTTTAGCCCAATGAAGAGTAGGGCTGACATGATAGCAGTCTTCCAGTATCTGAGGGGCTATCCCAGAGAGAAGGGTCAATCTATTCTCCAAAGTGCCAGAGAGCAAGACCAGAAGCAATGGATGGAAGCTTATCAAGGAGGGAAGCAACTTAGAACCAAGGAGAAACTTCCTGATAGTGAGGACAATTAACCAGTGGAACGGCTTGCCTCCAGAAGTTGTGGCTGCTCCATCACTGGAGGTTTTCGAGAAGAGACTGGACAGCCATTTGTCTGGAATGCTGTAGGGTCTCCTGCTTGAGCAGGGGGCTGGACTAGAAGACCTCCACGGTCCTTTTCAACTCTGTTATTCTGATGTTCTGATGTACGTAGATGAGTGTGGGTAAAGCCTGGGAGGCCAATTAGCAGATACAGGTGATCTAACGGTTGATGGTGTTTATCCAGAGTCACAAATACCCAGGTTCTGTCGCAGAACCCAGATTGGGCTGAGAAGGACTGAGCCACGGCTATAAAATTGGCAGAAAAAAAAGGCTAGGTCAGCTGTCTTCAGCTCTTGGAATAAATTGCTCTAACCATTCATCTCAGCCTGATGAGACATACGCTCCCAGTGTGAGAAAACTGAACGCTCCCAGGTTGAGAAGAACATGAGGAGAAGCAGTTGAGCTGAAGATCTGCTACCATCAACGAGCCCTGACTGAAGGACAAATTCTGGAAAAAAAAAAATTCGGCATCCCATGCTGAGTTTCCAAAGAGCAGCCAGCCGGAAGCCAGAGAAATAAATTTAAATTAAAAAGTCATTTCTCTCTTACTTTCCAGGAGTCTTTTCCAGTGTCCTATTTCCTCCGCTTGAGTTCCATTTTTAGAACAGGACCAGCTCTTTCTTCTTTTACTTCAGTGAGGACCTGCTGTTTTCAATCTACGGGGTTTTTATTTAAAATAAGAGCCGTCTGGAGCATTTTTAATTTTTTTTTAAATTGGGAAAGGTTCCTGGAAACTGCGAGGAGATGAGAGAGATTATCCGGGTGAGGAAAGAAAAACCTGCCAGTTAGAGAGTGTTGAATTTTATCACTCTTTTCCTTTCAGATTGTCTCTCTCTGTGTGCATCCCCGCTTTGTTTGGGTCTCGAAGAGTGAAAATCAACCCAGTCTTGTAAAATCACAATAAAAACTTTATTTACCGTAGGAACTAGCTAGGAACTGTCTCGTAAAAGAGAAAGTGTTTGTTTTATTGGGTGCCAGTTTCTATGCTGGCACAGGAGGCAACTACCTTCTTCAGTTTGGGCTCCACTTTTCCAACTTTTGGACAGCCAAGTCATTCATCCCTAATTTATTTGCTATCATTTCCTGATTTCAGCTGAATGTTTTGGCAATGGCTTGACATAGCAAAGGAAAGTGCTGCCTTTTTTTCCCCCACCTCTTTTCATTACGGTCTCCGAGCTTGTGTTTGTGTTGCAAACTTGATCACTTCCCAATTCAGCTGCTGATCCCTTCCTGCAGGTCATTCCAGTGTGGGGGTATTGATTTCACAGCAAATTAATTGAGTCTATCTCGTGTTAACTCTTGCAGAACCAAAAGCAGAGGCAGACCTGAAGCTCCGAGTTGCATCTGAGTGGAGTCCCTCCTTTCCAACATAAAACAGCTGTTTGTCTACAAAGCGTGCTCTGAAGGAACTGAGAATGGGCCTCTCTGTGTGGGTCGTGGCCTCGGTGGCCATCTTTTTGTTCCATCAAGATGCTAGCGGTGGACTCATCAACAGAATTATTCGGCAGAAGAGGGAGACAGGAATCAACGTGACGCTGCCGGACGATAACCATCCTGTGGTCTTCAACCATGTCTACAATATCAATGTCCCCGTAGGCTCCCTTTGCTCCGTGGACTTGGACGCTCCCAGCGGAGACTCAGAACTCAAACTTCCATCCGAGCCAGGCAAACACTATCAGGAGCACACGCTGAATGAAGAAAATCAGATCGTGTTCACACACCGGATCAATATCCCACGGCGGGCTTGCGGTTGTGCAGCTGCCCCTGATATCAAGGACCTACTAAGCCGACTTGAAGAATTGGAAGAACTGGTATCTTCTCTGCAGGAACAGTGCGGCGGTGGGTCAGGATGCTGCTCCAGTGCTCAAACAGCGAAAGGTAAGTTAGGGGAATTCAGAAGCAAGGTGGAATGGAATAAAAGAGAAGGACTAGAATTCCCAAACAAAAAAATAGAAGAACTAGAATTCCAAAACCAAGACATAGAAGAACTAGAATTCCCCAAAAAAGAAATAGAAGAACTCCCAAACAAATAGAAGAACTAGAATTCCCAAACAAAGAAATAGAAGAACTAGAATTCCCAAAGACATAGAAAAACTAGAATTCCCAAACAAAGAAATAGAAGAACTAGACTTCCCAAACAAAGACATAGAAGAACTAGACTTCCCAAACAAAGACATAGAAGAACTAGAATTCCCAAACAAAGAAATAGGAGAACTAGAATTCCTAAACAGGAGTATTTCTCTTTTGAACCTTTTGTGGTAGACCACATTTTGTTCCTGTCCCGTTTGTATTCCGTCCCTCCATTACTTTCAAGGATAATAAATAAATAAATAATTTGATTGACCTCCCCCCCACAAGGCAAAGGACATTAAAAATATGAGGCAAGTCTAGAACATTCTGTTTCAGGACCCTGGACAGCACTACAGGTATTGGCCTGGAGGTTCCTGACTGACATTCAGTACCATGGTTAGCAACTCTATGGCTAAGTTATGTAGAGCTTAGAACGCGTACTGACCCAGTGATTGTACTATTCAGATCTGGTAGAAAACCAAAAAGGAGGAGGGATCATTGCTATTGCTGTAGTTGATCGGATATTGCATTAGGGGCCATGGTGGTGCAGTGGTTAGAATGCAGTATGGCAGGCTAAACTCTGCCCACAGCCTGGAGTTCAATACTCAATGGCTCAGGTTGACTCAGCCTTCCATCCTTCCGAGGTTGGTAAAATGAGTACCCAAATTGTTGGGGACAAATATGCTGACTTTGTAACCCGCTTAGGGAGGGTTGTAAAACATTGTGAAGCTGTATATAAGTCTATTTTATTTGAACAGGTACTATTGAAGCTACACCCTATTGCAGCGGACGAGGAAACTACAGCAATGATGTTTGTGGCTGCATCTGTGAACAGGGCTGGAAAGGACCAAATTGCTCAGAGCCAGAATGCCCACAGAACTGCAATGAGAGGGGCCAGTGCATCAATGGCCAGTGTATTTGTGACTATGGTTATGCCGGCTATGATTGTGGAGAGCTGGCCTGTCCTGGGGACTGCAATGATCAAGGCAGATGTGTCGATGGGAAATGCGTGTGCTTTGATGGTTATGCTGGGGATGACTGTAGCCTTGAGGTCTGCTTGGTGCCCTGCAGTGAGTACGGCAAGTGTGTGAATGGACAATGTATCTGCACTGAAGGTTTCACTGGGGTAGACTGCAGCCAGACCCTTTGCCTTAACAACTGCAATAATCTGGGGCGCTGTGTGGAAGAAGAGTGTGTGTGTGATGACGGATACACGGGTGAGGACTGCAGTGAGCTCATTTGCCCCAACGATTGCTATGACCGGGGTCGTTGCATCAACGGCACCTGCTACTGTGAAACTGGGTTCACTGGTGAGGACTGTGGGGACCTGGCCTGTCCAAATGATTGCCACCATAACGGACGCTGTGAGAATGGTGTGTGTGTGTGTGATGAAGGATTCACCGGAGATGACTGTTCTCTACGGAGGTGTCCCAACGACTGTCACAAACAGGGACGCTGTGTCGATGGGCAATGTGTGTGCAATGAAGGCTTCTTGGGACCAGACTGTGGAGAAGTGAGGTGTCTCAATGACTGCCACAACCGGGGGCAGTGTGTGAATGGCCAGTGTGTGTGTGATGAAGCCTTCATGGGGGAAGATTGCAGTGAACTAAGATGCCCCAAGGATTGCAACAATCATGGCCAGTGTGTTCGTGGGAAATGTCAGTGCGATGAGGATTACATGGGGGAGGATTGTGGAGATCTGAGATGCCTCCATGACTGCCACAACCGTGGCCAGTGCATCAAAGGGCAATGTGTATGCGATGAAGGCTTTGTGGGTGAGGACTGCAGCCAGCGTAGGTGTCCCAACGATTGCCACAAGCGGGGGAAATGTGTGAATGGCCAGTGTGTATGTGAAGAAGCTTTCACTGGGCTTGATTGCAATGAACTGCGGTGCCCCAATGACTGCAACGACCACGGACGCTGTGTTGATGGGCAATGCATTTGCGATGAAGGCTACACAGCTGAAGACTGCTCAGAACTGACCTGTCCCCAGGACTGCAACCGTCGCGGACGCTGTGTCAATGGGGTCTGTGAATGTAATGAAGGCTTCCTTGGGGAGGACTGTGGGGAGCTAGCTTGCATCAACAACTGCAACAACCGAGGCCGTTGTCTGAACGGACAGTGTGTATGCGACGAGGGCTTCACCGGTGTAGACTGTGCTCAACGGAAATGCCCCGATGACTGCAACAATAGAGGGCAGTGCATTGATGGCGTGTGTCTGTGTGATGAAGGATATGAAGGGCCTGCTTGTGATGTACAGTCCTGCCCCAACAATTGCAATGATCTTGGTCGCTGTGTAGCTGGGCGATGTGTCTGTGAAGAAGGATTTATAGGTGCCGACTGTTCAGATGGTAAGTTGTACCAAATCACAGAACTGAAAGGGCGCATGGAGACTTTAGAGGCTAATCCCTTGTGCAGTTCCTATAATCTTCACCTTGAGGATAATGGCAGTTGTAGACAAATACATCACCTTGGGGATAAGAGGGTTCTTTCAAACGATTACCCTACATATATAGCTTCAATGAGTAGATTCCATAATTTGTTGCTGGGCATGTAGATCAGACTTTCAGAAGACAAATTTGGGTTTTAGTTCTACAAAGACACATCCCTTTGCTTCTTGGACTTCTTCGATCACTTTTTTTCTTCTTCTTCTTTAAATCTTCATGACAGTATCTCCTCCGAAGGATTTGTTGATTACGGAAGTGACAGATAAGACCATTAACCTGGAATGGGCAAATGAAAACATTGTCAATGAATATCTCATCAGCTACATTCCGACCAGTACTGGTGGCTTAGAACTTCAGTTCCGGGTACCTGGAAATAAAACATCAGCCACCATTCAGGAGCTGGAACCTGGTGTGGAATATTTCATCCGTGTTTTTGCCATCCTAAGGAACAAAAAAAGCATCCCAATTAATGCCCGGATTGCTACTTGTAAGTACTTTAAAGGCCAAGTGAGTAATTTATGCTGTTAAATTAGGTATAATTATGGAAATCTATACTATGTCAGTTAGCCTGTAAGTTTTGTGTTGCTTGAAGTAACTGGTGATAAAGGAGGCTAAGCAGCTCAAAAATTGACATCCAACACAAGCTAGGCTTACACTGTTTCCAGGTTTGGGGTATGGTTCATAGTGACCATCTTCATCTTATTTAATGCAACCATGATTGACCAAATGATCCCAATTATAACAGAATAACAGTGTTGGAAGGGACCTTGGGAGTCTTCTAGTCCAACCCCCTGCTCAAGCAGGAGACCCTGTACCAGGGGTAGGGAACCTTGACTCTTTTATGACTTGTGGACTTCAATACCCAGAATTCCTGAACCAGCCATGCTGGCTCAGGAATTCTGGGAGTTGAAGTCCACAAGCCCTATACCATTCCAGACAAATGTTTGTCCAGTCTCTTCTTAAAAACCTCCAGTTATGGAGCACCCACAACTTCTGGAGGCAAGCTGTTCATCTGGTTAATTGTCCTCATTGTTAGGAAGTTTCTCCTTAATTCCAGGTTGCTTCTCTCCTTGATCAGTTTCCATCCGTGGCTTCTTATCCTGCCTTCTGGTGCTTTGGAGAATAAGTTGACCCCCTCTTCTTTGTGGCAGCCCCTCAAATATTGGAAGACTGCTGTCATGTCATCCTAGTCCTTCTTTTCATTAAACTAGACATACGAAAGGGTGAAGATATAAAAATCATGGTGTTGACATAGTCTTCCTTGCTTCTGGTTTTCAGACTTGCCTGCCCCCGATGGCTTGAAGTTCAAATCCGTTAAAGAGACGTCCGTGGAAGTTGAATGGGATCCCTTTAATTTCCCTTTCCATGGGTGGGAGATCATCTTTAGAAGCATGGTAAGAAAGATTCTGCCTAGGAAGCTTGCCGTGGGATCCTGCTTTCCTTTCTGGCTACCTTCCTATTTGCTCATCACAATGGTTTGCGTTGCAGAAAGAGGAAGACAACGGGGCCATCCGAAGCAGTCTGAAGAGCCCTCAGACTTCATACCTACAACACGGCCTTGCACCAGGACAGCAGTATAATGTATCTCTGACTGTCGTGAAGAATCAGACCCGAGGACCTGCTGTGTCAAGGATTGTGACCACTAGTAAGTACAGTAGCCATTGAAGTATGTCAACCAAGAGATTGAGAGAAAGACCATAGCTTCTTCTTTCACTCATTGTGATTGTCGGAGATCATCCCTGCAAGCGTCCTTTGAGGGCTTTTAATCAAGTCAAGGAGGGCTTTTTTTTAGGATGATTAGGAGAGCCAGGAGATGGGACAATGCATCTTTCCTAGCAAGGGAGAACTCAGTTCCTGATTCGGATTGAGATGCTTGATCAGATCTGATTCCACCATTTACATCCACTCCAAGATGAATTTGGACATTTCCATTCAAAACACTGCGTGGGGGCAATTTATTATTATTTTTAATTGATTCAGGAGAACCCTTTTGTGTTCGAAAACAGCCAGGGAAGAGATTGAAGCCTGAGAAACAGGCCCCTTATAGCCAACAGGAGTGCTGATCTACCACCAGCTTATCAAGTACTTAGGAGCCGAGGACTTGGCAGAAAAAGGAAACAACAGCCGATAGCCAACCATTGACACACCAATCATCCAATAGGAAGCTACACTCAACCAGGCGCCCCAAAAATGCACAGAATAGCCAGGTACAGAGAAGCTCCTTGAAGATGGGCTCCAGCATGAGTCCTAAAGCTCAGAAAAATAAACCTCTGGTCCCAGGGACCACCGACCCAGATTGGATCCTGCAATTTTTGTGCCTGCCTGGCAGATCTTCCTATCAATTCAGAGCTGTTCAGTTCAATTCTGCCCTAGAAGCTGACGTTCTGAGTCAATACAGAGAGCCAATTCCGTTCAAATTGGTTTGACATCTGCAAAACCCTCATTTTCTTTGTACTTTAGACCTAGGGGAGTGTGTAATTTGAAGGAGAAAAGACTCTAATTCTTAAAAAGGAAAGAGAAGAACACATGGGGGGGGGGAAAGGTAGAGGAGAGTTCTTCAGAGTGGTCAATAGTGACCTCAAGGATCAATGGGACTATCCAAATGTCAACTGTCCAGCTGGCAAATTCAACACTGAAGAACCTCTATGGCCTTGAGGTGCCCCTAAGAGATCAGTTTTTATTGAATACACACACAGGCACTGAAGAAGTAAAATCAACTCTAATTTTTCTCACGCGAAATTCTGGTTAGTTAACAATAGCTTTCCATAAACCCCACCCTCCATGTGTTCACGTTGCCCAATCACATTCTCTCTGTTTGTTATGGGAATGGTCCATTTCTGCGTCAGACACCTGCTTTGGATGACCTTGGGTCTCAAGGTCCACGGATGGCTTCTTGAAACCCCTGTTCCTTTCCCATACTCCCCCTCCCTCGTTTCTAGGTTGAGCAGCGACAGAGGTTGGCAAGCCTCTTAGAAGCTCAACCTTGACATGAAGGAGCCAATGAGTTGAAGAATTTGGGGACTCCTAATGCAAAGGAGAACTTACTCAAAATGGATTTGCTTTAAGGAAATCTTGCTCCACTGCACAGCCCTTTTCCAATTCTTTTTTTTTTTAATGATGAGGTTGTTCTGTATTCAGGTACGTTAAATCTTCGCCTTGTCTTGTTTATTTTCTCCCAAGAACTGGATGCCCCCAGCCAGATTGACTCAAAGGATGTTACAGACACAACCGTCCTCATAACATGGTTCAGACCCTTAGCTGAGATCGACGGACTTGAGCTGACTTATGGGCCCAAGGATACCCCAGGGGACCGCACGTCCATTGACCTGTCCGAAGACGAAAGCCAGTATTCCATTGGAAATCTGAAGCCTCACACTGAATATGAAGTGACCCTCGTGTCTCGGCGCGGAATTATGGCAAGTGACCCCATCACTGAGACTTTTGTCACAGGTATGAAATGTTTTTGTTTTCGCTTTGCTTTTTAGTATGTTTCTGCTATGCTCCAATTCACTAGCTTTCAGACTTTGAGGAACTGATTTATGGAGATGACTATTAAAAATCTGGAAACCTGAGGTTCATTTTAGGTCAGGGATCTGCAATCCCCGGTCTGTGGACCAGCACCGGTCTGTGGCATGTCAGAAACCGATCTGCACAAACAAGTGAAGCCTCATCCATGGGATGCAGGCAGCACATGAAACCATGCCTACATGTCTTTATGAGATCTGAAATAATTCTTGCTTTAATTGTTTCTAAGGACGTTCCCAATCTAGCTCCGATATTGGGGGGGGGGTAAAGAATTCAGGATATCCATAAAAAGATAAAGTTTTCCCCTGTCCAGTCATATCCAACTTTAAGGGTGTGTGTGCTCATCTCATTTTCCTAGCCAAGGGACCCAACGTTGTCCAAAGATGCTTCCATGATGATGTGGCTGGCATGATTATATGCCAAGGTGCATGGAACGCTGTTCCCTTCCCACTGAAGTGGTACCTATTAATCTACTCACATTTGCATGCTTTCCAACTACTCGGAAGGCAAAATCTTCTGGTCCTGGTGACCGGCCCAGATTGGATCCTGCAACATTATCCTGGGACACGTAGATTCGTCTTCATTCAGAAGATGGTTTTAACGGCGATAAGCAAGCGCTATTCCTAACAAAATAAGGGGTAAAACATTTTCTTAAGTCCAGGACCATCCAGATAATGTTCAGAAGACGTTGAGGTAGAGACCTTTTCCTGTTCACTGAATTATAAGAAGTGCCCTCAGACTTGCAAGATTCTCAATAAAAGTCGCTTTAGCTTCCCTGTGGAGTTTATTTCACGGTTTGGTTGGCCTGGTGGGGCCGACCTGTTACTCATCTGTGTCCCTCATGTTGACAGAGAACATTAGATTTCTTTCTCTCCTTCTCCCCAGATCTGGATGCTCCCCAAAACCTCAGACACATTTCTCAGACAGACCACACCATCACCCTGGAGTGGAAAAACAGTCCGACGATGCCAGATCTTTACAGGATCAAATATGCACCCCTCGCTGTTGGAGATCACGCTGAGGTCACAGTGCCCAGAAGCACCCAGGGCACCTCCAAAGTTACACTCTCTGGTAGGATCTGAAGTTATTGCCCAACAGACGCCGATCTAAATTCATTAACGATTTTGAGGGCTGGCAATTGAATGCTCTTTCTTTGATCCCATGATGGAATGTTCCTTTAGCTATCCATGCAATGAGATCAAAAGGAGTTTATCCCTTTTTGTGTGTGTGAGAAGCATACATTGATCCAACCACAATATTAGGTCTTCTTTGGGGGGGGTGTCCCACTTTTTGGGAATGGTTTCCCAAGAGAGCTACCCACTATCAGGAGTGTTGTGTACTATCTTTGGTGTTCATTTTCATATAGTTATTTCTCCTGCTTTAAACTTATTTTAAATCCAGGCACTATTAGACTTGTTCTGCTTCATTTTCGGGTTCTGGTACTTTGGGATACTTTGGGACAATGAATGACTATTTCTTAGAAGCAATATTAATAATTATTCATTCTTTAAGGCCTGAGACCGGGAACAGAATACGGCATTGGGGTAACCTCAGTGAAAGAGGACAAAGAGAGCGTTCCTTCCACCATCAATGCTGGAACCGGTAAGAAATATTCCTTCATTAAGTAGGGAGGAAGGACTCTTGTGAAGGACTCTGAGGCTTAGGACAATTTATTGAATCTAGTTAAGCAAGCTAAAGTAGACTTTGCCTGGACTGTAACCAGTTTTAGGCACTAAAAGGAATATTGGACTGTGATACGGGGTCAAAAATTGGCAAAAAGGATGGCTTTAGGAGATGTCATTAAGCATGGCACTGATGATGTTACCTAGTTGGGTAATGAAATGTCTGCAAGAAAACCACCAAGCTCAGAGAGCACCAAGGACCACCCAATCCTCCTCCTCCTCCTCCTCCCTCCACTCCACAAACCCCCTTCCCTTTTAGCACTGATGACACTACCTAGTTGGGTAATGAAACATCTGCAAGAAAGCCATCAAGTTCAGAGAACATCAAGGACTCCACAGTCCTCCTCCTCCTCCTCCTCCTCTTCTTTGCAAACCCCACCCCCTTCTAGTACTGATGATGCTACCTAGTTGGGTAATGAAATGTCTGCAAGAAAACCATCAAGTTCAGAGAACACCAAGGACCCCACAGTTCAACCCTTAGCTACAAATATTCTCTTCTTTTGACAGTGTGGCTGTCAAGAGAATTCTAGGCTTCCACTTCCCAGCTTATCCCTTTGGTACTACTGTTCATAAGATGGAGGACGTGTTCTCCTGACCTTCAATTCGAGCGTAGCTCTTTACAGTCTTTATCCGCTGAGTAGAATGGGACATATAGATGACAGGTACTCATCCCATGGTCTGAGCGAAAAAGGTAGCATGCACCGTGGAGTTCTTTCTGGAAGGCTGGAAGATAATTAAATGCACATTTCTTCTCTTTCTCTGTTCTGCTTAACGTCTGTTCTCAAGACTTGGCAGAAGGAGCAGAGATCAGTTCGATCCACAGCTGTGTGGGCAAATGAATGATGTTTCCATGTTTTTCATTAAGGTTACCCAAAGAGGGCCTCCTCCTTCCCCACCCCCCCACCCCCTTTTTTTTCTTTGACATAATTCACAAAACTGGCCCAGGAGGCTCCAATTAAGAGTGAAAGAGACCTTTCTGATTGGTCAAAAAGTTAATAATAGGGGAAAGTCCGTTGGACACCTCAAAGAAGTGAGCCAAACCATCAACATTAGTGGAAAGGCAGAAAGAAAAAGGGAGATCTGGATAGAGCTGGGTTCCTGAGCCAGAGTTAAGCCTGAATGTGCAGTTTAGACCCAAAAAAAAAAGACTGACATCAGCTTTTTTTTCACTCCCCTTAATTTGGAGTGGGAAAGGGAAACGAGGCAACAGGGACATGAACAGGAAATGCATTTGTAGCTCATCTCTTTCCCACATAAAGACAGCTTCTAAGAGTCATTTGGATCGAGCTAAATGCCACCGGTCCAGTTGTGGCTAACCACGGACCGTCCATGTTCCAGTTTTGATGCCATTTGCTCACCACTGTCTCTTACGTAAAGGAACATGTTCCACATGGCGCACAGGACGGGGAACCCCAAATCATTGGATCTCTCTGTCGGTTTCCTGATGGATTTGTTTTCCTGGGCAGCCCTATTCCATTAGTGGTAGTTTCAACCGTTCAATGTGTCCAACTCTTGGCGACTTTATAGGCAAGTGCTCTCCACGCCACCCAGTCAAGCCCAGGCTTCTTTTGGTGATTGGATGTTCATTTTTGTATCATTTCTGATACAAAAGAGCCCTGGTGGCACAGTGGTGAGAATGCAGTACTGCGGGGTACTTCTGCCAACTGCCGGTGTTTGGTAGTTTGATTCTGACCGCCTCAAGCTTGACTGAGTCTTCCATCCTTTCGAGGATGGTAAAATGAGGACCCAGATTGTTGGGGGGAAAGATGCTGACTCTGTAGAAGAGCTATTGCTATGGCTGTCCATCCGTCCATCCATCCATCCATCCATCCATCCATCCATCCATCCATCCCACCCTCACACCCCTACATCATTACAGAGAAGACTTGAAATAATAGAAAATTATAGACTATAACTGATAACCTTTTCCATTACAGGGACCTAAAAGTCAAAAATAAACCCCCTTTCTTTCTTCTCGCACACAGATCTGGATAGTCCGAAGGACTTGGAGATCATTGACCCCACCGAAACTGCCTTTACTTTACGTTGGAAGAGACCCTTGGCCAAAATTGACCGCTACCGCCTTACTTTCGTCACCCCACTGGGGAAGAAGAATGAAATTGAGATTCCGGCTGATAGCACCTCCTACATCCTTCGGTCATTAGAGGCTGGAACGGAGTACACCATCATCCTTGTGTCTGAAAAAGGACGACTCAAGAGTAAGCCCTCAACGGTCACAGGTTCTACAGGTAGGTGAGAGTCTTGATCCTCACTTATGTCCACTGGCAGATCTGCTAAGCGCCTACTTTTCTCTGGTGCCACGGTGAGGGCGTTGGTCTACTCTAGATGCATTGAGATATCTTCCCAAGTCTTGTCTTGTGGAGATTCTCAATCATCCAGGCCATGCTTGTCCCCAGAGGAGTTTTTCAAAAGGCAAGTAGACTTCCTTTTTTGGTTCTCCTCTCAAGTTCTGGTTCCTCAACCTTGACGTCCTCCAGATGGGTAAGTGTCTCCCTTCCCAATTTCTCCTTGCAAAGAATTCCACTGATTGAAACCCCAAACATCTGGCTGGGAGGGCCCTATTGGGAAAAAAAAAGAGTGATTTTCAAAGGATATCTCCGTTGTGCTGTTCTGCTCCATGCTAATCCATCTCACAAACCACTTGTGAGAATTCTGGAAAGTCGCTTTCTAAGCATTCCATGGCCTCCTAAACCATTTCGCGTACCTTTATTAGATCTGTCAAATTGAAACGTGATGTCAAGTGGGGGACAGGTCCTGCTGTAAAGGACCAGCTTCAAACATCACGTGTGAGTTTCAGAAAGGCTTCTAGGTACCTTCTCGTTCTCATGGGCACGTTTAAAAAAACAAAGTAGTCCTCAACTTGCGGCTACAACTGAGCCCAACTTTTCTGTTTTTGCTGAACGAGAGAGTTGTTGAAGTTTGTCCTCTTTTATGACCAGAATTATTAAACGAATCGCTGCAGTTCTTAAATTAGTAACCCAGTCGTTAAGCGAATCTGACTTCCCCCCATTGACTTCGCTTGTCAGAAGGTCACAAAAGGGGATCACACAACCCCAGGACACTACCACCTCCTCCTCCTCCTCCTCATAACTGGAGGAGGTAGCTGTATGCCAGACAGCCTATGCTGGGTCTCCTAGAGTAACCTACTGCTCTCTCCAGATGTTGTCCTAACATCTGGATTAAACAAAGAGGTGTTTGCTGATCTATCTGGCTTCTCTACACAAGACAGGAAGAACTCATTCTTTCCTTAGACTTAAGATAAAATAATTTTCTGGCTAGATCTGTGCAGTCAGCGATTAAGCAGACAGGGAACGAAAAAAAAAAAAATGATGCTCGTGCTTCCGAGAAGAATCCCAGGGGTAACATGACTATTAAAGCTTTGTCCATCCCTCCTCGGAGCTGCCTCATGATTACAATTCCATAACCGTTTGGAACGAGCAAGCCTTACATGGTTAGTGACTGCCCCAAAGCAGTGGGGAGATCCCCCCCCAAAAAAAGCAGCCGTGAAACCCCAAAAGACCACATAAAGCATAACGAGTGCTTGTAAAAACGGGCCTTGGCAGAAGCCACGTCTCCCCGATTGCTTGATTGGTGCTGCAACTTAATATCAGGTTTACGTTCTCTTTCTCGCCCACGTTGCCAAGGAGTCGTGGAGAAACCTGATGCTCAGTATTCTCTTGGACGTGGCCTTGCGCTTGTGAAGAGAGATGGGTTTATAAATACATAACCGAAAGGGTCAATCCTTGGTTACTTGGCTCCGTAGGGTTGATCATCCAGTTGGCTTCTTTGTCCTTCTTTAGAAGAAGAAGCTGAGCTGGGGAATTTATCCATTGCAAACGTCTACTGGGATGGATTCTTCCTCACCTGGACCGCAGCTGATGGGGCCTATGAGACTTTTGTCATACAGGTGCGGGAGTCGAACCAAGCAGAAGATACACGGACTCTCACCCTTCCAGGGACACAACGGTCCATAAGTCTCTCCGGTCTCAGACCAAGTACTCTTTACACAATCACCCTCTATGGGATAACTCAGGGCTACCAAACAAAACCCATCTTTGTTGAATCTACCACAGGTACATTTTTTTTCCGCTTTTCTTTTCCTTGTTGAAGCTCCTTCTTCGCTTTCATTTTTTTTTTTTTGCCCAGAAAAAACATTTTCAACCCTGCATCCGATGTTCCTTTGTCCCCTACTAATAATCAGCAAATTTCCCACCGCTTGGAAGTTGCATCTTATGGCAATGTATTTTGCACCTAGACAAAGCTTGTTAATAGGGCAGAGAAAATGGAATCGACTTTGCTCCCCGGAAGAAATAAAAGGGGAATACTTTTTCTACGTTAAATATTTTCATTCGGAAAGAATTGTCCATGGAGGATAAAATAACATCTTCTAACCCGAAGGTTCTAGTCATGAATCTACCAAGATTGAGCTCAAAAACATCCTCCTTTTTATTTCCTCAATTAATTTTATTTGGAGCCCTCTATAATGTGCTTTTTGCGGGGCTCTGCCTATCCTCCATAGGAACTTCCAGCAGTGTTGTGGGTTCAATCATCTAAAACATGGTGAGCCACTTTGATTGTTCAGCTCCACCTCTGAATGGGGAGTTGAATTGAATTCCTCTACAATCTACATCATCCTGCCCTTGATTTATTGTTTCAGAATTGGCATTAGAAAAGTAAAAAGTTTGCCATTCAGATGTTCTTGAATATGACTCCCTTTTGCTTTTGACTTTTGAAGATGCTAGCCTGGGCTTAAAGCTTCAACCCTGGTCGTCCTGCTTTCTGCAATTAATCAATTTTGCTTCTGCTTCCCATCCTGTTTCTTTTGTTATTCCTTCCTGGGATTCTCTTGCATCCTCTAACATGCAGTACTGGGCCGTGGCATGCCAGCAAGCGGTGCTCACAAACAAGCAAAGCTCCATCCGTGAGATGCAGGCAACACACAAAACCAGGCACTCTCTGGTCTGCGGAAAAACCTCTCTCCACGCAATCGGTCCCTGGTGCCCAAAAGGTTGGGGACCTCTGTGCTACTACTTCATCCCTTTTTTTCCTTCTTAACATGCATTTAAGCTTGGTGTGGGCAACTTTGGATTTCCTTCGCTTTCATGCTTGCTTGAGGTCATCTTCCACCAACATGAACGAGGGATGTCCACTTTAAACAGAAGTTCTACAGGTACCAAGCTCTCCTTAAAAATCACCACAAATGTTGTTTAATTCTCCGCAGGGGCCAAATCAGAAGTTGGAAACCTGACTGTTTGGGGCGTTACCCCAGAAAGCTTCAACCTCTCCTGGACGACCGCCAAAGGAGACTTTGAGATCTTTACCGTTGAAATTATTGATTCTAACAGGTTGCTGGAACCCATGGAATACAACATTTCGGGCAGTTTAAGGACTGCTCATATCTCAGGGCTGCCCCCTCAAACCAGTTTCATTATCTACCTCTACGGAGTCACTCGTGGCTTCCGCACCCAGGCATTAAGCACAACCGTCATAACAGGTACATTGTGATCCTCAAAAGTTAACCCGCAATTTCTTCATTATCAACCTTCTTTTGCAGCCTGGCTACTCCACCGTTCCACCTTCTCCTTGACCTAGCCCTTCTTTTCTGGTCTAGACTTTCTCACAAATAGCTCCTAGTATGGATTTTCATGCAGACTTGAAAAAAAGAGTAACTTTTTTTTTTGTTCCAGCTTAAGCTTTGGAAAACGAGGAAACGTAAACGGGTAAATTTGGGGTCCTATTGGCAACCTTGGGAGATGCAGCTATGAGTTTTATGATCCCCTAAAAGCCAGTTAGCCTTCAGAAAGTCTATTCTTAGTTGCAATTAGATGAGTCTGCAAGTTACCCACTAATAGTTGGGTTTGAATGAGGTGGTCAGTGTGGTGTTGGACTATTATCCCATTCTGAGCTAACTGGAAGGGCTCGTGGGATAAAATATTACCCTCCACACAAAACGCAGATCCATCAGCTCACATGGACATCTAACGTGTTAGGAGAAAGATGGAGAAGACCTTATTCTTCCCATCCAAATAGTTTGGCATGTGTAATAAGCACAATGAGTACACCTAGAGAAATTTAATGAATTTCTGCTTCCGGCCACTCTCATTATTTAAATTTATACTGTTCTTTTTCTCCAGAAACTCAAAGCTCCTCTGTTTTTTCCCCCCTGTTGAGTTGGGATGGACAGATAGAAAGAATAACTGCTCCAGAGGACTTTCCAGGGCTGAGGGTGACTTCAATTGGGCTTTACTTAGTTTGAATCAACACTTTATATTACCCCGATGGTCTTCCCTGTAGATCTAGACAACAGACAATAAGAACACCAGTATCAGCTGCACACTGTCCCTGAAGCCATGTGGAGGTTTGCTATCACTAATTTAAGATCAGGTGTAATTATAATGTTCAGTCTCATGACCAGGTTGATGGCAAACTCAACAGGCCTTGACAATTCCAACTTTTAAGGGTGTAGCATCGCCACCACTTGCTTTTCCTGGTGATTCCTTTGACTTTTATTTATAATCTTCTAAGACCATCTCACCGAGTTCCTCTCGTCTCGAGAAATCTGAAGAATCTAGGAACCTGAGTGAGATTACAAGGCAAAATAATAGAATCGCAGTGCTTGCGTTCCCACAATTAAGGCAGTTTGATGAACGGAACTTTTCTTCTTGTACGAATGCATTCAGTCTACATGCATTTACGCTCTTTCTGGGTGCATAACCTAGATACATATTAACCTAGATACATATATCGAGAAGGATTATGTGCGACATAATGCCTAGGGCAATATATGTATCGATGTTTGTTCTACTTGGCGTCTCTGCGGAACATGCCTGGACTTGTATTCAAAGCATCCATTGTCCTACAGCTACTGTATCTTGATGTTCTTTCTAGTTGCTTCTCTCTCTTTTTTTCTCCCCACATGGTGAAGTCTGGCTCTCCCAGTGATCTTGACTTCCTAGGAAATGTTTCTTTGCATGTGATGTTCTTTGCACCTTGGGTACAAGCCAAAGATCGGCTACAGAGGGTAGAAGACCTCTGCATTTTCAATATTGCAACGCATCATGCAAAAACTCGCATGCGTTTTTCCCAAGCATCCTCTCTGTCTGAGCATTCTTGCATATCTTTGGAGACCAGAAATTGAATCCAGAAGAGGAAAAAAAAAACCAAATCTCTCTCTTCCTTAAGGCTTTCTCTGTTGGCTTGTAAACAATCGGCGGGATTGTGACACAGATTCCGGGGGCGGGGGGATTCCAGACAATTTTTGTGGTCGTCGGTATCTCTGGGAGATTTTCTTAAATCCGATTGCATGTCAGGATCTTGGAGGCCCAAGGATTATGCCTGATCTGAATGCAAAAGCATGCTCTGAACAAAGCCATAAAGAGTATGAATACCGAGAAAGCAATCTTCAAATCGCATGAGCGTCTGATGAGAACATGTCATCTATCTATGTGTTGTTTCCCTTTTAAGGAAGCTAGCCATCTTGCTGGGTTGGTGCTTCCGTGGATCTTGAGCATTACAGCAGGAAATCTTTCCCTGGTGGCTTTTGCTGGCCCCTTTCTCGCAACCTGAATGCAGTTCTTGCATGAATCCTTAATTGAGGCGACTCCAGCACTCTTAATCCAAAACAGGCACATACATTTTTCGTAGTACTGGACCTTTCTTCCCCTAGTCTCCTTCCCCCAGTCCAATGCCTGACCTTAGAAAAGGGGAAAGTCTCTCTCCATAAACAAGCCAAGTCTCTGAAGGTCACCATGAAATCACGTTTACATTTTGGCACAGTGGGCCATGAAACCAGAATAACAGAGTTGGAAGGGACCTTGGAGGCCTTCTAGTCCAACCCCCTGCTCAAGCAGGAGACCCTAGACCATTTTAGACAAATGGTCATCCAGTCCCTTCTTAAAAGCCTCCACAAGTTGTTCCACGGCTTGATTGTTCTTGACATGGACAATGTTCTTGAAACCAATCCTAACTCAACCGGACTGATGTCCACAGCCCAACCGCAGACCCAAGAGTGGCTTGTTGCAGTTCTGTAGGACACCTCCTTCATCAGCTTGTCAACCAGATCTCCACCAATAATGGTTGTCTTTTCCCACCCCTCCCCCATTATGTCCCTTCTCTCTTCAGAACTCAAGCTACAGCTGGGCACACTCACACTCACAAACGTTCATTTGAACGGGTTCTCCTGGACTACAAGAGAGGAAGCTTTTGCACACTTGGCAGTCAATGTTAGAGGTCCCCACCGACATCAGGAGCCTCTGGAGATGACAGTCTCAGAGGAGGTTCACGACACCTTCATTTCAGGCATGGTAGATTATTTGGATTATGAGGTTAACATTCAAGGCCCAACAACAGATGGGGGCCATGGGGATCCCCTCCCCTCTTTGATCCTGGCAGGCACCCTTGCCAAAATCATGGGTGGTTTTGATTTGCTGCAATTTGTTTTCCATTAGGTGGTAACAGTCCCAACAATTTGAAGGCCACAAGATTGCTGTACTGAGATTAATGATCGTGGAACTTCATTGTAGCATAATACATAGAACATAGAAGAATAGAGTTGGAAGGGACCTTGGAGGTCTTCTAGTCCAGCCCAGAGCTTAAACAGGAGACCCTATGCCATTTCAGATAAATGGCTGTCCAGTCTCTTTTTGAAAGCCTCCAGTGATGGAGCACCCACCACTTCTTGCAATGTATCCTTAGTTTATAGTCCCAAATAAACTCATTTTGGAATTTACGCAATCTATTGAATCGTAAACTGGCTGAAGGTCTGGGTTAACACAACATCCTAAGCTCCCCAAACCCAGCCAAGAATAACACCAACCAAACTTTGTGTACAGCCACTACATCAAACCCTTTCTAATTATAGTCAGTCAGCTCAATGGAGGATGAATAGTGTGCTATTCCCACACTTGGTAATCCACAAAGATAACAAGGGACAAACATGCACGCACAACCCATGAATCTCACAGCATAGGCATTGCATCTCATTATTTTAATTTATCCCTTTTTTGGGGGTGGGGGGAGACCTGTGGTTTGTACCAAATTGTACAGGCAACCCAAGTCTAACTCAGCACCTCTTATCCCTTCTCCCCTTCTGCAGAAGCATTGCCCTCACTGGAAAACCTCACAGTTTCCAGTATTAATCCATATGGATTTACGGTATCCTGGATGGCATCAGAAGATGCCTTTGACAGATTTCTGGTTATCGTGGTGGATTCTGGCAAACTGCTAGATCCCCAAGAATTCCTTCTTCCGGGAGGCCAGCGCCAATTAACCCTTAGAGGTCTTATAACAGGCATTGGTTATGAAGTCCTTCTTTACGGCTTGGTCAATGGCCACCAAAGAAGAGCCTTAAGCATTGTTGCCTTAACAGGTATTTTTTTTATTTTTTTAAAAAAAGTCACGGAACTAGAATGCTCGTCTCTTCTCATCTTTCTCTTCCTCCTCTAGAAGGCCTTTCGTGTCTTCTCCATTCACCGTGGAAACATGAGTTCCTTTGTGCACCTCTTCCTCACCCTTTCACTAATATACCTCCTTTGTCACCTCTTTCTCCATTTCCTTCCTGTCTCTCAATGGACCAACTTTTAAAAGAGCAACAGAATGTGGAGACGTGTCAAATTGTTCCAAGAACATAGAAGAATAGAGTTGGAAGGGACCTTGGAGGTCTTCTAGTCTTGAGCAGGAGACCCCATGCCATTTCAGATAAATGATTGTCCGGTCTCTTTTTTTTAAAAGCCTCCAGTGATGGAGCACCCACAACTTCTGAAGGCAAGTTGTTCCATTTGTTCCATTCAGATATCTTTGTCGTCCTAGCCAAAGAGTAAAGTCATACTCTATCAGGTTTAATATCTCAACTCTGTCTTTGAAAAAGCAATGTCTGCAAAAGAAGGTCAAGAAAATGATACAATCCAGAACGATCAAGCTGATGTTTAGGTTAGTTCCTAGACTTCTATACCGTTGTATTAGATAGCTTGAAAAGTGGGGACACACTTCCAAAATTCAGCACGCCATCTTTTAAACAACCTTGGGATCCATCATCACGTGATCTTCATTTAGCATTGTTGTGTACAGTATAACGCAAGCTCACTACCATCCAAAGTTGAACAGGACTCCAAAGGAGACTTTACTTTTGTGTTGTAGAAGGTGTCAGAGTATCTTGATTGATTTTGTTTCAAAGAAGAATGTACTTTTGGAAAACATCATACCCCCTCAACCTGTCTAGTTTAGCTTTGTCTTCTCTGACCTGCAACAACTCTTCTATCACAAAGCATTCCCAGGCAACTTAAAGACTGAATATGGGACCACTAGTAAGCCTCAATCCTACCGTTTATTCTGACTATCCTATTCAAAGTTGAACCCTGTACACATTAAGAAGCTCGACAGAGGTGTTCACGATCACTCATCAATGGTCTATCTACCATCTTTGCATGCCTGATGGAGCTTCATAGGACCAGTGGTGCAACCTAGCTGAGGACCCATATATGCATTTACTAAACATCTATGGAGATTCTCAGTCATCCAGGTCTTCCCAAAGGTGCTTTTTTTTCAGGAGGCAACTGTACTTTCTTGTTTTTCTTTGAAGAAATTTCACTTCCCATCCATTCCTCACCATCCAGTCAGAGATGAAGAAGCTTCTTGGATGAAAAGTGAAACGTCTTCAAAGAAAAACAAGAAGGTCCAGTTGCCTCCTGAAAAAAGCACCTCTGGGATATGCATTTACGACTTTCTTAAGGACAAGTACCAAACTCCACACACTTTAGAGAGGGTTGATGTTCCCTAACCTCTACAGAACGTGAAGGAAATTGGAGCCAAAAATATGCATATTAAGGTTGAGCGCACGTCATCAGGGAAAACAGTTTGCAAAAAAAACAACAACCATACACCTGACACAAAATATGATCAGGGCTATATTAGGAGATACATCCAGGTTTTGATCTTGTCTGAAAATCAAATTCCCCTAAATGGGGAATTATACGAAAGCAATACAGGAAAATCCTCTAGCACCGATTGGAGTCCAAGTCAGGTAAAATATTTGGTAGCTGGAGCCCAACTTGGAAAATAGTTGATTGTGGTGAGTTTGGCAATTGTTGTGTGTCGGGTGGTTCGGATTTGAGTGCCAACGCTGGCTGAGTTGCAAAAACTCAAGCTACAGAAGTGATCTTCCAGGAACACCAGTTAAAAGTTTTCTTCAAAAAAAAAACCCTAGTCCCCCATCAACAAAATACTAAAAATAGTCTTTTTATTTATTGTATTGGTCAATATCAGTGACTCCGATGAAAGACAGAGAACGAATGAACATTCCTTCTTAACTACCAGCATGTCTCATTTTGCATGGTAGGGGAAAGTGTGGTTTTTACACACGGGTGCAACTTTGACTCCCGTGAAGATCGGCCGGGCCGTGTACACCTTTAGTTGGGAATGTATCTTTTCTATTAATCGCTGAACGCCTTTTTTTCTCCCCACTCGTAAACAGCGGATGTTTATTTCCATCCTTCCGGATTTTGCGGTCGGAATGCTCGCATCCTAAGCTAACCCGGACTAGATTCTATGGGATATTTTTTTCTTTCTGTTTCTTTTTTTCGAAAAGGACATTTAAAAAAAAACAAACAAACTCCTTTGCCATTTCAGAAGCCGAACCTGAAGTAGATCACCTTTTGGTCTCGGATGCTACCCCGGATGGTTTCCGTCTGTCTTGGACGGCGGACGATGGAGCCTTTGACAGTTTTGTCCTTAAAATCAGGGATTCCAATAGACTTTTAGATCCCCTGGAGTTAATCGTGCCAGGTCACCAACGGACCCAGGATGTCAAAGGGCTGAAAGAAGGGACTGAATATTATGTAGATCTCTACGGAGTTATCAGCGGACGGCGTTCCCAGCCTCTAAACGCAATTGCTATGACAGGTACCTTCGTCTGCCTCTGTCTTGTCAACGAACACAACCACACAACCACACGTGCATGCCTATATATGTATTTGTGTTTGCCTTTGTGTGTGTGTGCGAGTTTGTCTGTTGCATTTGCAGCTGGTTCTCAATTTACAGCCGTTCTTTTAGCGACCAACGGCACCGAAAAAAAGTGATTTATGATCATTATTTCAGATTTACAACCGTTGCAACCTCCATGTGGCCACGTGATCCAGCTATGATGGTTAATCTCTCTCTGTGTATAGCTCGGGGATGACATAACGCTCAGACTTGAGATTATTCCTTGTCCCAAATAGAGAAATAGAGATTATTTTGTTTTTTTTCTGCGGCGTTTTTATTCAGCCCTGCTATTTCCCCCTGCCAAAAAAAGATTACTATTAAAAGTAAAAAGCTGGGCTGCTGAGAGACTCGCTTGCAAATAATGGCTTTTCTTTTGTGGAGCTTTTTGTTCTTGTCATAACACTGGACTTCACACAATCTCCACTGTAGCTCCTGCTCCCAAGACTTAGCTGTGTGTTTTCCTCAGCTGACTGAGCTCTGGAAATGTGTGTTCACGCCTCTTCTTTGTTTCTGTCACTCTCTGTACACAGCGGTGGGATCCCCAAAGGAAATCGCTTTCTCGGAAATAACAGAAAGTTCAGCTGTGGTTAGTTGGAAGCCTCCACTGACGCGGGTTGAAAGTTTCCGGGTTTCCTACAGGCCGGAAGCTGGAGGTAAGAAACAGCGCTGGCTGCCTATCTTGGCTAGTCCTATGCTCTGCTTGGAAGAGCGGATTAAACCAAGCACAGAATTTATTACACTAGAGGAAGAGGCTTGCAAAAGTGAAGACCGTTAAGGGTGGATGAGAAAGGGTGTTTGATTGTCGAAGGAACAGCACGAGGGGTCCTTGGTGTCTCTCTGAGCTTGGTTGTTTTCTTGCAGATGTTTCATGACCCAACTAGGTAACATCATCAGAAGGGAGGGGGGTCTGTGGAAAGGAGGAGGAGGAGGAGGAGGAGGAGGAGGAGGACTGTGGGGTCCTTGGTGCTCTCTGAGCTTGGTTGTTTTCTTGCAGACGTTTCATGACCCAGATAGGTAACATCGTCAGTGTTAGAAGGGAATGGAGTCTGTAGACAGGAGGAGGAGGGGGGGGACTGTGGGGTCCTCTGAGCTTGGTTCTTTTCTTGCAGATGTTTCATGACCCAGCTAGGTAAAACCTTGTATGAAAGCCCAAACTGACAGTTCTATTCATCTCTATTCCAGATGATCTCAAATCTCTGACAGTTGACGGAAACAGGAGTAGAATCAAGCTAGTAGATCTGATCCCGGGCATAAAATATGTCATCAGTGTTGTGGCTATCAAAGGATTTGAAGAAAGTGAACCCATCTCTGGATTTTTGGTTACAGGTATGTACGGGGTGGAAATTACTGTGATTTATTCCCCCGGGAGAATAGGGAACTTTAACAAAGTGAATAATATCCAGAAGAAAAAGAGAAAGAGAGAGAGAAAAAAAACCTCTTCAAAATAAGGTCAACACAAAACATTTCTGAATTCACCTCTAACGCCCTGGTGACACAGTGGTTAGAATGCAGAATTGCAGGTTAATTCTGCAGGCTAACTGTCAGAAGTTCGATCCTGACTGGCTCAAGGTTGACTCAGCCTTCCATCCTTCCGAGGTCAATAAAATGAGGACCCAGATTGTTGGGGCAATAGGCTGACTCCGTAAAGCACTGTGAAGCAGTATATATGTCCAACTCATGAGGTCAGAATAACAGAATAACAGAGTTGGAAGGGACCTTGGAGATCTTCTAGTCCAACCCCCTGTTCAAGCAGGAAACACTATACTATTTACAGACAAGTGGTTGTCCAGTCTCTTCTTGAAAACTCCAGTAATGAAGCACCCACAACTTCTGGAGGCAAATCGTTCCACTAATTAATTGTTCTCACTGTCAGGAACTTTCCCCTTAGTTCCAGGTTGCTTCTCTCCTTGATTAGTTTCCATCCGTTGCTTCTTGTCCTGCCCTCTGGTGCTTTGGAGAAGAGCTTGACCCCCCTCGTCTTTGTGGCAGCCTCTCAAATATTGGAACACTGCTATCATGTCCCCCCTGGTCCTACTCTTCATTAAACTAGACATACCCAATTCCTGCAGCCGTTCTTCATATGTTTTAGTCTCCAGTCCCCTAATCATCTTTGTTGCTCTTCTCTGCACTCTTTAAAGTTCAACCCTTTTCATTTCTATCCATTTGCTCAGGGGTTACTTGCTGAGAGTCTACAGATGGGGAATAGTTTAAGCAATTGGTAATGAGGCCATAACTCAACCCCCTCGCCGAACTGATTCAGCCCAAACCAGACAAAATTTCACCAGCTTTAATGCAAAGTATGACAGCTCCTTTGATTAAGCACCCTGGAGAGAGAGAGAGGATGAAAAGTCGCCACTGAATTTTGGCCCTTCTGTTCAACCCTTCCCACGCCATCTCCAGTCTCTGTTTTGTTTTCCCCAAGAAATGGCTTGAGGTTGGAAAGACAAACACAGGAGCTGTCCACAAAGGCAGATTGATGAGTACAGGCTGAACTTTTTAAGCCAGGGGCCTCTTTTTAACGAGGGAACATAAGCCAGGCTGCTTTATTTCGACATGTTTTTTAAAGCCACTTGCGCATTCCTTTCTTTTTGATTTGGACTACACGTCCACCTAACTGCGTCTTCTTGAACTCGGCACATTCTGGGGGCAGCCAGGAGAAATTGGAGGGACTATGTGGGCCCTTCTGTCTTCTTTATTGGAAATTTAGTCACCGTCAATTGGATGGCAATCGAACGACTCAGCTGCATGCAACATAGTAGAATAGAATAGAATAGAATAGAATAGAATAGAATAGAATAGAATAGAATAGAATAGAATAGAATACATTACAATACAATACAATACAATACAATACAATACAATACAAGATAGAAAATAGAATAGATTAGAATAGAATAGAATAGAATAGAATAGAATAGAAAATAGAAATTATAAATAGAATAGAATACAATACAATACAATATGATATGAGATAGAAAATAAAAATAGAAGAATAAAATAGAATAGAATAGAATAGAATAGAATAGAAAATAGAAAATAGAAAATAGAAATTATAAATAGAATAGAATACAATACAATACAATATGATATGAGATAGAAAATAGAAATAGAAGAATAGAATAGAATAGAATAGAATAGAATAGAATAGAATAGAATACAATACAATACAATACAATACAATACAATACGAGATAGAAAATAGAAATAGAAGAATAGAATAGAATAGAACAGAACAGAACAGAACAGAATACAATACAATACAATACAATACAATACAATGCCCCCTTTAGCGACCGTCTGACAAGCAAAGCCAATGGGCGATGGCTGGATTCACTTAACAACCGTGTGGCTAACTTAACAACGGCAGGGGTTCGCTTAACAAGTTGCAAAATGGGGCAAAACTCACCCAGCCAATTTCTCACTTAGCAACATAAACTGGGGGCTCAATTGTGGCCGTAAATTGAGGACTACCTGTACATGCACGACTTCCCATTATGACCCCAGTGCACATATCCTTCAGTGGATTGGACAATATTGTCCATATTGCCGGAGCAGGAGATCTCCAAGGTCCTTCCCAACCCTATTGTTGTATGTTCGGGGTGCTCAAGCAGGGAGTTCTCATTTATTGCAACGGTGTCACTCTCTTTCTAGAATTGGATAGTCCGTCCGGGCTGAGGGTGGTGAACATCACGGATTCCAAAGCTTTAGCTGTCTGGCAGCCAGCCCTTGCCGCAGTCGACGAATACCTGATTTCCTATCTTGGAGAAGGAGGTGAGTTGTGATGGCCCCGGAGCTATTCCGAGTTTTCCCACTCCGAGGAAAAGTGAGCATCAAATCCAATCACGTGATTTTGTGACAGCCTTAAGGCCAGAAAACCGTGATATCACAGCTAAAAAGGAAGCAAAACTGGCATAATAATAATAATAATAATAATAATAATAATAATAATAATAATAATAGTAGTAGTAGTAGTAGTAGTAGTAGTAGTAGTAGTAGTAGTAGTAAAGTTGGAAGGGACCTTGGAGGTCATCTAGTCCAACCCCCTGCTCAGGCAGGAAACCCTATACCATTTCGGACAAATGGCTGTCCAGTCTCTTCTTAAAGACTTCCAGTGTTGGAGCATTCATCGCTTCTGGAGGCAGGTTGTTCCATTGGTTAATTGTTCTCACTGTCAGGAAGTTTCTCCTTAGTTCTAGGTTGCTTCTCTCCTTGGTTGGTTTCCACCCGTTGCTTCTTGTCCTGCCTTCAGGTGCCTTGGAGAATAGCTTGACTCCCTCTTCTTTGGGGCAGCCCCTGAGATATTGGAAGACTGCTATCATGTCCCCCCACGTCCTTCTCTTCATTAAACTAGACCTACCCAATTCCAGCAGCCGTTCCTTATATGCTTTAGCCTCCAGTCCCCTAATCATCTTTCTACGGAAGGGTGGTGAGAATTTTAATCCAAAATAGCTAGGATTGTGGTGGCCAGGCTGGACTGTTGATGTTGCTGCACTGTTTTCAAGAAGTCTTGAAAGACAGATGCAACTCCGTTGGCGTGGCTGTGGGAACAAATGCCTCTCTCTCTCCCCCCCCCCAAAAAAACCCCAAAACCCCAACAACCTTCCAATGCCATGTTCCACAGAAGATAGACCGTGCTGAGCCCAGCAGCTCTACTCTGCATGCCACAGATCACTCCAGCCAGCGTGAAATTTGTCAACATCCACAAGCATTGGATGGATGGATGTCTCTTAAAATAAGCCAAGCAAGAGGAACAACTCACGCTTTGCTCTGCTCGTTTATCTTATGTTTGTCCTTATTGGTCGTTCAGAGACAGAGGTGACACGGAGAGTATCCGGCAACACGATGGAATATGATCTCATTGGCCTTCGACCAGCTACCGAATATACCCTGAAGATTCAAGCCTCCAAAGGGCCGCAGAAAAGCAGAATCCTCTCTGCCAAATTCATTACAGGTAACTTGTTCTGGCTTTCGTCTCCTTTGCTGAGATTCCTGAAGTTGGGTCAAGTCGTGACACCTCATCCAGGTTTCTGTGTCCCAAAGTGGCCTATTCAGGGAAGTCCCCAAACAGGAAATTTGTACCATAGAGGATCAACCTGGTTAACTCTCAAGATGCTTTTTTTTCCTACTATGTATTCGAAATGGACTGTGAGATAGGTAGGTAGGTAGGTAGGTAGGTAGGTAGGT